CTGTCCACCTCGCTGGCTCACTGCTTTCTGGGGTGCAGCTGTGCGGCACAGCTTGAGTGGCGGGTAACAGGAGGCTCATCTGACGAGGTGGCAGAGACCCCTTGGGCTCATGAAAGGAGGAGATCTGCAGCTCAGGGCGGAACTGTGGGCTCCCTGGTGCTCTCTGAGCCGGGTGGTTTTCTTGAAGACATTTCATGACCCAGCTAGGTAACCTTATCAGTGCTAGAGGGAAGTGGGATTTGCAGAGAGGAGGAGAAGGAGGACTGTCCGGTCCTTGATGGCCTAAAAGCTTGGCTGTTTTCTTGAAGATGTTTCATTATCCAAACTAGGCAACGCCATTATCACTAATGCTGATTACGTTACCTAGTTGAGTCATGAAACGTCTGCCAGAGAAAACCAGGCTCAGAGAGCACCAAGAACTCCTCAATTATTATTCCTCCTCCTCCCTTCTGTCACTGATGATGTTCCCTAGTTTGGGTCATGAAACATCTGCTCAGAGAGCACCAAGGAGCCCTCGTGTCAGCCCTGAGCTACAGAGGTTCTCCTTGGTTGAGCCCAAGGGCTCTCTGCCATCTCTTCCACTGAGCAAGCCTCCCCCGCACATCCCTTGGGCTCTGCCCCCTCCCGATGCATGCACAGAGCAGGACAGGCGAGGTCCCGGTGCAGCCCCCTTGCCCTACTGCAGCTGCCTGGCCTTTCCTCCTTTTGCCTCTTGCCCGCTCTCTGGCTTTGCAGATCTGGCCAGGTCGTCCTTGCCCTTGGCTGCGTCTCCCTGGAGGAAGCCACGGAAGGAGGCCGGAGCCGAGCGCTCGCAGCCCCCTCCCCCGTGCTGGCCCTTGGCCGCTTTCACCGGAGTGTTTAGAAACCCTCAGTGAGCGCGCCAGGGAGGAGAGAGAGCGAGCGAGCGAGAGAGCAGCGAGCAAGTTCAAGGCAAGGTGAAGCTCTTGGGAGATAATCAGAAAGTTCATGCGGAGGTGGCAGCCGCTGCCGCAGTTTCACACAGACTGCCTGGGGTGAGCGGGAGGTCACCCCTTCCTCTGCGCCCTGCCCTCCCCCGGTAAACAAAAGCAACCTGCCATTCACAAGGAACTTGGCACCCTCGGCCGGGAGCCGGGCACGGTGGCAGCCCAGACCGGCTCCTTGGCAGGTACACCGTCTGCTGGAGGCGGTGCCAGGAAGGAAGGGGGCCCATCGCTTTTCCTCTGGCCGCCCTGGATTGTGCCCGGGGCACCCTCTCCATGTGCCAACCTTCTGCCAAGTAGCCTAAGTCAAGGGTCTCCAAGCGCGGCCACTTTAAGACTTGTGAACTTCAACTCCCAGAATTCCCCAGCCACTGCATGCTGGGAGTTGAAGCCCACAAGTCTTAAAGTGGCCGCGCTTGGAGACCCTTGACCTGAAGGGATCCTGGCCCTGCCCTGCTACCCTCCTGCCAGGAGATGCTTTGGGCAAGCGTAGCCACTGGGCATTCATTTCAGTCTCCCAGGCAGGAGGGAGTGGGTGCCAGGTGAGAGGGTCCCAACACTGGAGGAGAATCTCTCTCTCTGTAACGAGTCCAAGGCCCTGACTTCCTTGGCAGCCCTATTTTCTCCTGAAGCCCAAACTCTCGGGTTCCTCTCCTCCCAGATCTCTTCTCCAGTCCCTGGGCCTCCTTGCTCGCCTCAGAGATGTGGCAACGGTCAGAATTGTGAAAAATGGTCCTTAGTCGACTTGTTTCAGTGATCACTTTGAACAGTCACTAAATGAATGGTTGTAAGTTGAGGAACCGCCTATAGCAGGTCCATAGTTCCCGAGATTTTTCAATAGGAAGGAGAACTGAGTTCATTCAAATCCAGTTTGAACCCACCTTGGCCCCTGCTTTCTTTCCCCATCCCCGGTGATGGAGCCAGGCCTGGTCTCCTAGCCCCTCCCTCCTCATGGGACCCTTGTGGACGAGGGGGAAAAGGGCAGAGGCACAGCCTTTGTCCCAGAGGAGAAGCAGCTCTGGACTCAAGGCGGGCAGTCGCTGTGGACTCAGCTCCTTTTGGTGGGCGTCTGAATAGCCATAGCCATGGCCCTTGGACTTACCTGCCGCTTCCCAGTGCTTCCCAGCCCTCTCTAAGCGGTTCGCAGAATCAGCCTCTGGCCCCCAACAATCCAGGTCCTCATTTTACCCACCTCGGAAGGATGGAAGGCTGAGTCAACCTTCAGCTGGTCAGGATTGAACTGCTGGCTGTGGGCAGAGTTAGCCTGCATTCTAACCACCGTGCCACCATGGATGGATGGATAGAGCACTTAGACCTTATCTGCCGCTTCCCAGTGCTTTCCAGCCCTCTCTAAGCGGTTTACAGAGTCAGCCTTTTGCCCCTGGGGCCTTGGTTTACCGACTTCGGAAGGACGGAAGGCTTAAAATGGCCAGGTTGGAGACTCCGGTGTTACAGAACCAAGCCGGCCACTCCTAAACGTGAAAGAGCAAAGCACCCCCATTTCTTCATTTATTGATTTTATTCCATTTCTATGCCGCCCAAGTCGCTCTTCCTCCCGCTTGGGAGGGTATTTCGATACCAAAGCTCAGCTGAGGAAACTCCGAAGAACACTCGTCGAAACAATCACACTTGGCGTTACCAGAAATAGCCCTGATCTTTCCCGGGAATAAATTACAATCATTTACAGATGGAAAAAATGAAAGACGTTATATATGTGGCAAGTGCAGATGTGAATATTTCTGGACTCCGTCCACTGGAAAACTAATAAAGACCGAAGACTAAAAAACAGGCCCAGGAGCGTGTCCAAAAACAACGCAGGCGGGAGAGATACGGATGCAGCTCGACCGAAGGCTTCACGCTGCTCCCCTCAGAATACAGAATATACAAGAGCTGGAAGGGACCTTGGAGATCTTCTAGTCCAACCCCCAGCTCACGCAGGAGAAACTATACCATTTCAGACAAATGGCTGCCCAATCTCTACTCAAAAACTTCCAGTGTTGGAGCATTTATAACCTCTGGAAAGAAGTTGTTCCACTCATTAACTGTGCCTGTTGAGGAAATTTCTCATTACTTCCAGAGAAGAGAAGAGAAGAGAAGAGAAGAGAAGAGAAGAGAAGAGAAGAGGAAAGGAAGGAAGGGAGGGAGGGAGGGAGGGAGGGAGGGAGGGAAGGAAGGAAGGAAGGAAGGAAAAGAAAGAAAAAGAAAGAAAGAAACTCTCATCTTATAGATTAGCCCAGCCACCCTGCCTCCCCTCTGTCATCCATGTTGTCAGTGACTCGTGGCCGGGAGGATTGCCTGGGGGGGGTGGGGGGTGGGAAGGGGGGAGGGGAGGGGATGCGTGAGCCAACCATGGGGTAGGGCACAACTTGGGAACTTCTGTGTCTCCTCCTGGGCTTCTCCTCCGGGACATGGACTCTCCCAAGTTCCCCCAGCTCTGTCCCCCTCTCCTTAAGAAGCCAGCAGCCCCCCAGCCCCCCTCCCTACGCGCCGCCCATACCCCAGGGCGGGGGCTGCTGTCCTCCCTGCTGTAGGCCCGGCTTCCCTCCCTGACCAAGCCGGCGGGAGGGGTGGGGTGGGGTGGGGGCTCCTTCCCAACGAGGGGTGTGTGCTTGTCTGTGTGTGCGTGCGCCCTGACCAGGGTGATGGATGGCCCTGCAGAGCCAACTCGCCGGCTGCAGGAATTAATGGCATTTGCATAATCTTCACTTTGGAATCTGCCCCAGCAGATCGTGGCCTGGTCGGTGCAAGAGCCACACGTTGTCCTCACCAAAGCCCCCCCTCCCTCCCTCCCTCCCTCCCCCATTTAGGAGGTGAAAAGTTGAAGGGGGAGAACGAAGAAAGTCCCCATTTCTGGGCTGCATAAATTCTCCTGCCCTTGTCAGGCTTCCCAGCCCAGTTGTGTTGTTGCAGCCGCTCTCCACGTGCGGAGAAACACAGCCTCTGAAGGAGGGGGAGGGGGGGCAGCCCAGCCGCAGAGCCCTCCCGCCCAGCCGTGTGTCCACAAGATGGATGGGCCGAGGGATGGCAGGGCTGCCGGCCATCCATCACCCTTGCCTGTCTGCCGGTCTTTGCTGGTGGAGCCTGGACTCTGAATAACAAGAGCTGGAAGGGATCTTGGAGGTCTTCTAGTCCAACCCCCTGTTTAAGCAGGAGTCTCTACACCATTTCAGACAAATGGCTGTCCAGTCCCTTTTTAAAAACTTAAAAACTTCCAGTGATGGAGCATCCACAACATCTGAAGGCAGCCGTTCCACTGGTTAAAATTAAAATGGCCACATTTGGAGACCCTGGCCTGGATCATGGAGGCTGCAGCTCCATCCTCTCTGGCCACCAAGGAAGCGGTGTCTTCTGCAGATGTCCAGCCTGCTTCTTCTCCCCTCGCCTCCTTCAAGAGGCAGCCATTGGCTGATCTTGGTTTGTCGGTTTCCATTTTTCCAGCTGGATTTATGTAGAAACTTGCACACACAAAAAACCCCTGGAGCTCCCCAAAGATCCTCTAGCCAGCTCACCAATTGCTGGATGTCCTTCTCGGCAAGAAATGGGGTCTGTTTGGCCCCAGAGAGAAGGGATTCAAGGTCAGGGGTGGACAGTCCACTCCTTTTGCTCAGGTGGCTGCTGTCCATTTAAGGGGTCTATGCAGAGTCTCCTGGTTGTCCCAAAGGTGCTTTTTCCAAAAGGCCAATGGACTTTTTGGTTGTTTTCCTTGAAAAGGTTTCGCTTCTCATCCAGGAAGCTTCTTCAGTTCTGGGTTAAGGTTGAACTGAAGAAGCTTCTTGGAGAGAAGCGAAGCATTTCCAAAGAGGACAGAAAACCCAAGAAAGTCCAGTTGCCTTTTGGAAAAGCCCTTTTGGGATGTCCATCCGGGAGTTTTAGCATCCAACAAAACCTGTTGTGAGGATTTAGGTGAGGCCTGAGGCTGAATCCCAAGAGGGATGCCTTCGTTCAGCCTCCTGGGTTTTGGTCTGCTGTCCTAGTGGGAGAGGTGGTCAATAAGCCCATTTTACAGGCTTGCTCAGGGCCTCCCTTTTCCTCTTTCAGCTGCTGGATCTCTTCCTCCAGTGGGACTGGTCGACGTACCTGGCCGACTACGGGCAACCCACCTGCAAGTACCTTCGGGTGAATCCGACGACCGCGCTGGCCTTGCTGGAAAAGTGAGTGGGTCCTTCCAGGAGCCGACAGCCCCTGCTTGCTGCTCCTATGCCCAGGCTGCCTGGGGTGGGGGCCCAGCCTTGCACGGGAGCTGCTGCTTATGGCAATGCTGCATGTGGGGCTGGGTTGCAGCTGTCACTGGCTGCGTTGTGTCCTTGGGGCAGCCCCTCAAGTACTGGAATCCTGCTTTCATGTCATCCCTAGTCCTTCTTTTCTCTAGAACTGGCCACACCCAAATCCTGCAGCAGTTCTTCACATGTTTTTCTCTCAGGCCTTTCATCCTCTTAGTTGCTCTTCTCTGAACTTTTTCCAAAAGTCTCAACGTACTTTTTTGTAATGTGGGAACCAAAACTGGATGCAGCATTCCAGGTGTGGCCTGACTAAGGCTTTATAAAGCGGTACTAAGACTTCATGTGATTTTGATTCTGTGCCTCTGTTTATACAACCGAGGATTGTATTCGCTTTTTTGGCTGCTGCAGCACATGGCCGGCTCATGTTTGAGGGATCGTCCACTGGGACTCCAAGGTCCCTCTCACGGCGACTGTTTTGCCACTCAGTGTCACCACCTGCGAGTGGATTGCCGGCCTTTTCTTTGCGGGGGGTGGGGGGTGGGGGTGGGGTTGCCCTGTGTGGCCTCTGGGAGAAGCTGACAAGGCCCTCCGTGTGCAGCCCCTGGACCGGACCTGACCCCCATCTGGCAGTGGGGGCAGAAAGGGATTGAGCTGGCACAGGAGGTGTCACTGGCTGGTGCCTGCATGTGCCACCTTGGCTTGGCTGCTGAGCTGGATGGCCATTGGGGCGCTTCGGGACCAAGTGCGGGACTGTGGGGCCGAGGGCAACAGCCTGGGGCAGTGAGAGGTCCTGTAACCAAAGGGCTTCACCTTCTCCTCCATTGGTCCTGCTCCAAATTCCCCGTAGTCCTCAGGAAGACCTGCAGAGGTCTGGCCAGGCTGCTGCCCTTCGGCCCGGCCGCCCTTCCCTTTGCCCCTTCTCCATGCCGGAGGGCTTGCATGGCCTGCTGGTGGGAGTAGGTGAGCCAGGAAGCAGGAGAGGCAGCTGCCAGCCGCCACTTAACTTCTCCTTTGCTTTATTTCTCCTTCCTCCCCATCCCTCCCTCCTCCTGGCAGGATCTCCCGAGAGTAAGTATGTGTGGGGTGGCTTTGCTGGCGTCCTCAGCCTGTACGAAATGAAAGGGGGGCCCCAAGTTCATCCCCCAAGTCCTCTGATGTGCCAAGGGTGCTTTTTCCAAAATGTCCTTGTTTTTTTCTTTGAAAACCTTTTGCTTCTCATCCAAGAAGCTTCTTCAGTTCTAACTCATTAGAGTTACAACTTCTGCCAGAACTGAAGACGCTTCTTGGAGAAAAGCAAAAGTTTTCAAAGAAAAAACAAGAAAATCCAGTTGCCTTTTGGAAAAAGCACCTTTGGGGCAACCGTGAGCCTGGAGGACAGAGCATCTCCAGAGACATGGAGCCAAATACTCCTTCTGGGCTGGGGGTCGTTCTGTATGGACGGGACAGCTGGGGCTGAGAGTTTGGACCCATCATTTCCCCTTGTTGTTTGTGGGGTGGAAGCCTAACAGAGCCTGCAAGGGGTTGGTTTTGGTCAAGCCGTTTATTTCAGATTCCATGGCTGGGGGTCTTCACCCCCAGTCCAGAAGGCAAAGGCAGTTCCATCTCCCCACTTCCTGCTTTGGGACATGGTGGGTCAGCTGAGCTGACAGCTGAGGTCCGAGACTTGAGCTCCACAGGACGGGCTGAGCTCCAGTCCTTGCTTCAGCTCCTGCCCACCAGCAGTTTGAAAGCATGCGAATGCGAGTAGATAAATAGGTACCCCTTTGGTGGGAAGATGGGAGCGTTCTGAGCGCCTCTCTGTATAGCCGTGCTGGCCACAAGACCACGGAAAATGTCTTCGGACAACCTTGGTTCCCTTGTTGGTTGGTTCCCTCACTCTGGGGCAGAGAGATGAGCACTGCGGCCCAGTCAGTTCGAGACCTTACTTTTGGCTTTAAAGATGGAGGTGGTGGCCTGTTCATCAGGAAGGGCCACCCCACAAGAGGCGCATGGAAGAGGCCGAGCCCCTCTGGGACCTCTAGAGCGGAGCCTTGGGAAGGGCTCTGTGGCTGCAGAAGATGCTGGCCGCTCCCTCCGCTTATCCCCACCTCAGCCAGCCAGTGCTCCTCCTGCTCTGCTGCCCACCCGTCCCGGAGGTGGAAAGGAAGCCCTGCGTTGCCCATCCCAGGCTGTGCCATCGGCTTCTGGGTCTCCAGAGCTCCTTTCGGTCGCCTGGGGCCTCTCTTCCTTTTCCGCCTTCTGCTGGGGTGCCTTGAGCCCCACAGTGTCCTGGGCACAGAGTGAGCACGTGCCTTCTGCTGGGGAGAGTCCCGGCGCCCGAGGGGGAGGGGGAGGGTCCGCCAGCCGCTTCAGTTCCTCCTCTCCTAGTTTCCAAGTCAGTCTCCCCCCCCCCATGGCCACCGGGAGATGGGTGGACTTCAATTCCCAGAATTCCCCAGCCAGCATGGGTGGGGTGGCCTCAGCTCCCGGCAGGAAGACCCCTGACCCCTTTTGCTCCAGCTCTCCCCAAGGACAGGCCCCCTAGCTGGAGAGGCCCTGCCATCTCCTGCGTGTCTGTCTGTGTTTTTCTGCCTGACGGGGTCTTTTTCCCGCCTGCCCCAGGATGAAGGACACCAGCCGCAAGAACAACGTCTTCGCCCAGTTCCGGAAGAACGAGAGGGACAAGCAGAAGCTGATTGAGGCCGTGGCCAAGCAGCTCCGCACCCTCATCAGCACCAGCCACCACTCCTGAGGGGCCACAAGACGCAGGGGGGGGGGGTGCCCTGGGTGGGGGGAGGGGGGGCTTGGCAGGGCGGGGCCCCTGCCCCGGGTCTGCCCAGGAGGGGGCAGAGTGGCTCCAGGGAACCAGCGTGGCTGCCGGAGGATGGGTGGGACGCAGCTGGCGGGACTGCTTGGTGGTGGCCCTTCTCTGGAGGAGCCTGGCTCGCTTGGGAAAGACTGCTCCTGGAGCTGGAAGCTCAGAGCCCCAGAGGGCCTCCCAGGAAGGCCAAGGCCAGGGGCCCGTCAGCACTTCCGGGTTCCTAGACGCACCTTGGCAATGAAACACTAATGCAGGGGTGCCCAACCCTGCCCATTTTTAAGAGTTTTGGACTTCAGTTTCCAGAATTCCCCAGCCTGCATGGCTGGCTGGGAATTCTGGGAGTTGAAGTCCAGAAGTCTTAAGGGGACCAAAGTTGGACACTTCTGGTTTAAAGGGAACAATTTACACTTTCAAAGGGAAACATTTACAAGGAACACCCCTGTGGGGTGCCCCGGACCCCCGTTTCAGCCCCCATTTTGTCTCCTTTCCGGATAGACGGCCTTCCTCTCTTGCTCCTTTGGCCGCATTTGAAACAATCCACTCTTTAAAAAAAAAAAAGTAAGCTCTCTGCCTTATTTCTCAGTGATCCATTTTTGAAAATCTGATTTCTCGGCCTTTGAGCCGCTCCGCTCCTTTTCTGTAGGAAGCCGGGATGGGAAGCATTTTCCTCTTACAGAGAAAGGGAATCGGAGCTCTTTAAAATGAACTCATTGGAAAACAAGAACTTTGTTTTAAAAACCCAAAGCTCCAGTTTTTAATGAAAGGAGTGGAACTCTTGTAAGTGGAATCCGTTGTTTGGGCCTCAGGTTTTGCCCAACATCATTGGATCAAAAAAATCAGGATGGTGGGCAGCCCAGGCAGCGGAAGGCCCCTCCTTTTAACGGGAGCAGCGGCTGCCCTCTTGGCTTTTCCCATTGCCCCCCCCCCAGACCTCTGGCCCCTAGAAGACATGGCCTCCCTTCCTTCTGCCTGCTTTTGTGCCCAGAACCCCACTTTCCATGTGGCAAAAAGTCGCAGTCGTAATTGGAATGGGGAGGGAAAGTACATCCTTCCCCATTGTATGTGACTTTCAGCTTCCCTCACGCCAAGCGGCAGGGCAACTGCCCCCTCCCCAAAGCACTGGCCCACAGACCACCCGGAGACCCCAAAGGTGGGGATTTGTGGCCAGAGAGGACGGTGTCCATCTGCCGGCCATCTTAGATCTTCCCTGTTGGCTCCTCCCTGTTGCCCCTGCCCCAGTGACATTTTGTGGGGTCTGTGTGGAAGTGGTCACCCTGATGGAATAGCTCAGGGGTCCACAAACCCAGCCACCTTAAGACTTGTGGACTTCAACTCCCAGAATTCCCCAGCCAGCATCGCTCGAAGTCCTAAAGAGGCCAAATTTGGAGACCCCTGGAATAACAGGCAGAAAGCCCCCCCCCTTGGATGTTGGGGCAAAGGTCTTTCTCAATCTGGCAGTCCAGCTAACCAGCTGCCGAAGGGCTGACCCTGACCGGTCGGACAAGTGCCTTAGAGGAGCCTCAGCACAAGCCCACTTCTGGCTGAAACGTGCGTGGACCAAGCAGACACAGGTGGCACCCTCACCGGCCAAGGACCCTCCACCATCTTGCCTTTGGGGCTTGTCTTCGCTGCTGAGCAGCTCGAAGGTCCTGAGATGGACACTTTGAGGCGAGTGTCCCGATCTCCACTAAAGAAGGAAGGAGAGAAGAAGTCCCCCGGCCCTCTTGGCTTGGATGAGTTCCTCAGGTCTTCTTGAATTCCCCACCACTTGTGTCCTTCTGGTTTGTGTCCTCTTCTGTGTCTTCTCTGGGAGTGAGGGGCATCTTCCGAGGGAGGCTTTCTCCTGACCACGAGGGCCTGGAGTCCCTCCTTCTCTTTCACTCTGGCCACATGGCTGGCTGTCCCCTGGGAGGACAGAGAGGGGCCCCTGGGGGTCTGTGGAGTCCAGCTTCATGTCCAGGCCACGCAAAGCCCCCAGGGCCTCCCAAGACCGGCCCCAAAGCCTTCCCATCCTTGGTTCAGCTGGAGCCGTCCAAGGCCCCTTTGGCTTCTAAAGCTGATGGGGGCGATCTTGGAGGGACCTGGTCATCTTCCTTCTTTCCTTCAAATCCAACCTGCCTTGTGGGTCACCTGGCCCCCATGAGGCAGATCTCAGCACGGAGAGGGGCTGGGACCCCCTTTGTGGGGAATGCACCACTGAACATCGGCCGGCCTGCTGGTCACAGGCCTCGGGACCAAGGCCTGGGTAGGAGATCGGCCTTTGCCACAGCTGCGAGGGATCCTGTTCAAAACCCAGCCTGGTCTCTGGGCCCAAAGACCCCCCGCCCGGTTTGCCTTATCCAGAGAAGGACAAGGGGAGTCAACTCCAACCTGCACCTTGTCCAGCTCTGCAGTGCCCCTTGGGTCTCCCAAGCAAGCCCACCCTGGCCCCAACCCACAGAACCAGCCCTCTGGCCCCGTAGGGAGCACGTCCGGCTCCTGCTGAGGCCTCCCATTTTGAGAGGGTCAAGCTCTGGATGGGGGAAGGGGGGTTGATCAGGTTGGCCATCGATGGGTGGCTGGTTTAGGGTGGACCCTGCCATCTCCTGCCGGTTCTAAGTAAACTCCCGCCTTGTGGTGCCTCTTCCTCTCCTTAACTAGATACGGCCCCCGCCCAGGAGAGGGAGACCACCAGATGTTCTAGGGATGCCCCTTGCGAAGGGTCCGTTCCCTGGAAGGGGGTCT